AGAGAGGTGGTACTATCCTGGGGAGAAAAAAGTACCAATTTTGATTGGCTGGGCGGATTGCAAACCACGCCCCGTAAAACTCTGAAAAGTGTTGTGAAGCCGCCATTGTATTTGCTGGCATTAGCTTATTAGCATTAGCATTAGCCCCACGCACCAACGGAGAGAGACTAACTTATGGCAACACAACAAAAAAAACATGGGAGCGGTGGAGTGATGAGGAGGTGTCGGCATTCTGGCGATTTACTCGGAAGGCTTATTCCGGTGTGAACGCGATCGGCTCTTTAGTTCCATGGGGTACTAAGTGCTGGGAACTAAGTGCTGGGAACTAAGTGCTGGGAACTAAGTACAGCAAAGTACTTGGTGTGAAAGCGGCTAATGTGACTTTGGTACATAGTGCCTTGGATCTTTTCAGTGACTTTTTCTGATGAACCATATGATTTTATTTTTCTCTTTGTGTCCAGAACAAAGGGGTGTTTGAGAAGGTGGGCGAGGCCACAGAGACGGCTCTCACGTGCCTGGTGGAGAAGATGAACGTGTTCGATACGGATGTCAAAGGCCTGTCAAAGATCGAGAGAGCCAACGCCTGTAACTCTGTACGTTGCCCTCCGTTCTTGAAAGTTGTTTCCTTGCAACCGAAACTCCATGATTTAATTGTACTCGATTCAAACGGTGACGAAACAAACTGAATGCAGAAAGGCTAACAAACTGTTTGATCAAATCTTTAGGTGATCAAGCAGCTGATGAAGAAAGAGTTTACGCTGGAATTCTCCAGAGACAGGAAGTCCATGTCTGTGTACTGCACTGCAAATAAGGCCCGATCCTCTGTTGGCAAGATGTTTGTAAAGGTAAGATTTAGTAACATTTCAACTATAACACTCCTGCAGTATCGGCTTTCTCCAAGTCTATTAATGCCATTCAATGATATCCTTTTGTGTTAACTTGAAAGCACAATAATTATGACTTTAGAGTGAATCATTGTCCTAAGACTATAAAAAACACATTTCTTCACTTTTTAATGAAAGTGTTTCTCTTACACACTGTTTTGTCATTTCCTTTGTGTTTCCTCATCCTCCTGTCCTTCCCTGCTCATAGGGGGCCCCTGAGGGATTGATTGACAGGTGCACGCACATCCGTGTGGGCAGTGACAAGGTGCCCTTGACCCCTGGCATCAAGGAAAAAGTGTTGTCAGTAATCAAGGAGTATGGAAGCGGCAGAGACACTCTGCGCTGTCTGGCTCTCGCTACCCGAGACCACCGCTTGGTCAGAGAGGAGATGAAGTTGGAGGACTCCGCCCGCTTTGTTGACTATGAGGTGAGAGCTGAGACGGATTTATATTACTCTCCCAACGCTTCTGGTGTCTAGGTTCCTTTTCAGGTGTGACATTGTTTCCTTTTTCTGTTACCGTGCAGACTGACCTGACCTTTGTTGGCTGTGTGGGCATGCTGGATCCTCCCAGGACGGAGGTGGCAGCCTCCATCAGACTCTGCCGCCTCGCAGGCATCAGAGTCATTATGATCACTGGAGACAACAAGGGTACGTGGAGAAAGTCACATTTGCTGAGAGAAGATTGACTTTGTTAATAACTTCCCTTGCGGGTATGAGCATGGAAACCACTAAAGACACAAGGGAAATCATCACATCTAGTTCTGAACGCTCACTTGCATCCCATGCAGCGCTAAGAAATGCACGTGTTCTCCTTTGTACCTTAGGGACGGCCGTGGCTATCTGCAGACGCATTGGCATCTTCGGAGAGAACGACGATGTTTCCAGCATGGCGTTCACCGGCCGAGAGTTCGACGACCTGTCGCCCGCTGCACAGAGAGAAGCTGTGCTGAAGGCACGCTGCTATGCCCGTGTGGAGCCTTCACATAAATCCAAGATTATCGAGTACCTGCAGTCCTATGATGAGATCACAGCTATGGTAAGCCGCCTTATCTAACATGTCTTAGTTTATTCCCTTTTTAAATATGCAAAATGTCCTCTCAAAATAACATATCTTGAAATGAAACCAGGAGAAATCAATCATTTCCTAGTGAAACATTAATGATACACTGTCAACTAGTTCTTCACACTTGTTCTCACTCTCCCTTCAGACTGGTGATGGAGTGAACGACGCCCCTGCTCTAAAGAAGGCTGAAATCGGTATTGCCATGGGTTCAGGCACGGCTGTTGCTAAGAGTGCGTCAGAGATGGTCTTGGCTGACGACAACTTCTCCACCATCGTCGCTGCAGTGGAGGAAGGCAGAGCCATTTACAACAACATGAAGCAGTTCATCAGATACCTCATCTCTTCCAATGTGGGCGAAGTTGTCTGGTAAGGATAACTAGTTTACCGTTTACCTTTTTATATATCTTGTACACAATATACCATAACATCAGATAATTCTGCTTCTCTTGTGTGTAGCATCTTCCTGACCGCGGCGCTGGGATTCCCTGAAGCTCTCATCCCGGTGCAGCTGCTCTGGGTCAACCTGGTGACCGACGGTCTGCCCGCCACCGCTCTAGGATTCAACCCACCGGACCTGGACATCATGACCAAGCCTCCCCGCAACGCCCGCGAGCCCCTCATCTCAGGATGGCTCTTCTTCAGATACCTCACCATTGGATGTAAGTGGTTACCATATGTGTAGGGATAGTTGTCCATTTAAACTTAGTCCTTTGTCAGATGTTATTGTTCATTGTCAATTTCTTGTGTGACATTTTCAGCCAAAAATATCCCCCCCGTTTCTTCATTGCAAGGCCTGTTTGTCTTTGTTATCTTTAACTTGAGTATTTGGAAAATGTAGTAAATATGAACTGGTATTTAAGCTTCTAATGTGTGTACATAAAACACTTCAGAAGCATTAGCCATCAACAGGCAATAGTACACTAGAACAGCCAGTTGTATTAATGCACAAGCTATCAATTAACTTGCTAAAAATCTGCTGAAATGGCACATTGTAAAAGTAGAGTTTATGCAGGTAGTCACAGAATAGGTCACATCTAATTGCAGTTTGCCTTCGTGTTGTATTTAAGTGACCGGCCTTTGCGTCATTGTGTGTCTGTGTGAGTGACGTCTTTCTGGTCCCCAGGTTATGTGGGTGCTGGCACTGTGGGTGCTGCTGCCTGGTGGTTTGTTGCTGCTGAGGATGGACCAAGGATCACCTTTTACCAGCTGGTAGGAATAACAGCCAAACCGCTACCATCTTGCTAACAGTGCACACTTCAACACACCAGCCTAATGTCATTTTCTGTTAGCTTTAATCTATATTTTCCTTTGACTTCCTTTAGAGCCACTTCCTGCAGTGTGCCCCAGAGAATCCAGAGTTCACAGATCTGGACTGTAAGGTGTTTGAGTCTCCTTACCCCATGACCATGGCCCTGTCTGTGCTGGTCACCATAGAGATGTGCAATGCCCTGAACAGGTTAGTTTGAGCAAGGCATTCTCCCAGCTTTTACTACTGACAAATAAGCAAGATGGACATGTTCAGAAGGATTGTGTTTTGAAGTAAAACAAATTTATAATAACAATTGTTCCATTTGTGTATATAGTGCTGGCCATTTTGTTTTACTTTCTCATAATATAATATATGCCTAAAAATAGCATGATAGGAGATCTTTAAGTGTGCTGGTTCTGAAGTCAGATTGAGTTTTTAACAAACGTGCTCCCTTGTTTGGTTCTCAGCGTGTCAGAGAACCAGTCCCTGGTGAGGATGCCTCCCTGGGAGAACGTGTGGCTGCTGGGAGCCATCTGCCTCTCCATGTCCCTTCACTTCCTCATCCTCCACGTGGAGCCTCTTCCAGTGAGAAACATTCCTTTTCATTAGACACTTACCCATGACGTAGCGATGACATGTGATTATTTCAGATAGTGATCCACTGAACCACACCTTGACCTTTGTCTCCTCCTCCTCCTTTTCAGATGATCTTCCAGATCACCCCTCTGAATATGACCCAATGGCTGGTGGTGCTTAAGATCTCCCTGCCTGTCATCCTACTTGACGAGTTCCTCAAGTTCGCCGCCAGGAACTACATGGAGCCCGGTAAAGAGCTGGAGAAGCCGGCCGGCTCCAAAGGCTGCTGCCTGCCTGCATGCTTGGAGGGCATCTCCTGGCCCTTTGTGGCCCTTACCATCCCCCTGGTGGGCTGGATCTACAGCACCGACACTAACATGGCCGACATGTTCTGGTCCTGACTGACTTGAGCACAATCTCGACTTTTTCCCATTTTCCTCCCCCGCCCCTCACCGCCATCACCTCCCTCTGTCCTCTCCCTCTCCCCTCTCTGCCTTCCTACATGTGTGCATAGCTTGCGTGTGAGCGTGTTTGTAGAGTTAGCGTGTGTACTAGTGCGTGCCTACCTACCACCTGTGAAGGACCAACTTTAACACATAAAACGTAATGGATAATATAAAATGTGAACCGAGAAGACACCTGGTTAGCGCTAGGATAGGATATTTGAACGGGTGAGGCTTTCAATGCTAGTGTAAGAAAATCACCACTCCCGTAGCTGTGGACTTTGTTGCTTGTCTGTAAGAAAAATATACTGTTGACAGTTATTTTATTGTTATTATTATTTTCAATATTACCTTTAAGGTTTATATTTACTATTCTGGGAGTATCAGTTGTTCTATGTCACTACAGTAACAACAGTTATGTTTAGCTTCCCTCTTCTTGAATAGAAAGTTAAGAAATCCATCATCTGTACAGAGATAGAATTTTATGCAACTTTTTTTATAGCTTCGTCAATTGTTCGACCACTGTGGTTTTGACTTGGCGCCTTCATTTATGTTCACGTTTACCATTGTGTCTTCAGTATATCAACTCAGAACTCTTTCAGAGAGGACAAGCTCCGTGTGGCGGACGAGGACGGGGAAAGGTTTGGGAGTAAACGTTCGATTGCTCCGATTTAACAAAAAGAAAAGAAAAAAAATTGAAAACAAAAACGCCGCATGTCTTGTGACCAAGCATGAACTGTATGTGGTTTCTCATTTCTAATTTAATTGTGAATGTCCCCCACCCCCATGTTAGAGTTTAAATTAACCTCATGGATGTACTTTTTTTTTACTATAATGATTTGAAAATAAGCCAGTTTTTCTGCACTGGGCAGAGCACAGCTACCTCAATGTGATAACAATAATCTCTTTGTTTTGCTCATCTCGAGATGCTTTTCCCTACAGGGTTTTGCTAAAGCGTAACATCTGAAGTGTGCCCCTATTTGCTTGTGCAAAAAACGAAGAACAAAACATTTCCTTCCCCTTTAACATTTTTAAGGATATATTTTGTTTGTACTGATTTCTGACTTTCATTAACTTTATTTGTGTTTTGCTTCGGAGGAAGAACTGAGAGGGGATGATGTTATTTACCATCTCATGGCATTTGATTCAAAGGACAGTAATGTTCAAATCCTAAGACAAAAAAATACTAAAGCAGAAAGTACTCCAAATGAACTTGGATTGCAAGAACCCAAAATGTTGTTTTTTACTTTAAGGAAATATACACTCATAAACCCTTTGAATCAAAGTGTGCTCTGTCTTTATTTAATCCATTGACTTCGTGGTTTTCATATCCAGTGTTTTTTTTTTTGTGTATGTGCATATAATACTTGAATACAAACCATTTCAGACATATGAATGCTTCAGTGTCCTTGGCACAACATGACCGGCAGGAGACAATCTTAAATATTTGACTCTTGAAGGCTTTAATATCTGGAGGTTTTAGTTTGTGCTGGGCTTGCCGCTCTGTGATGGTGTATCCGAGCCCATTCAGTCGACTGCACTAACATTTAGATCGTTTTTTGTTTTGCCTCATCTAAAGCATGTCTTACAAGGTAGAAGCCTGGGTTTGTCTGCACCGTGTGTGTGTGTTTGTGTTCCACTTAACAAGTGTGTGCTTTTCTTCCTCAATGCCTTCCATTGGCTCCCCTGTCACTAGAGTGAGTATCCATTTGCTTTCTTCACACTCTACTAAATACACATTCACTTCAGTAGAATCTAATGAAACAATGGGGAAACGGAGACTTTTTTTTTCAGATTAAAAGCACCATTAAATTGAGAAGCATCCTGGGAAATGTTTTCTGGGTAACTTGTAGACTAGCTAAAGGAGTTTTAAAAAGTGATTCTACCCTTTAAAAGTATGCTAGGGAGTGATTATGGCAAATTAATCATGCGTTGAACACATGCCACTTTTGGAAATGTTGCTGTGTGCTGTACTTTTCACCGTGCTGTCACTTGCCTATATTCACACTATAGTCACAGAATAAATTAAACTGGTCATGGAATTTTGAAGAGCTTTGTACTAACGTAGCTTTCTCTCCCTTTTTAGGTTGGCTCTCATAAAAACTGGGATCATTTTTAAATCTGAGTGGGCTCAGAGGCTGGCGTCGTCCTCCTCTCCAGCATGTGTGCTCACTCTTACCTTCACACACCTCTGACACCATGATGACCAGCAGTGTGTGTACCCTTGCACTGACAAAAAGGACAAGTTTTCCAAAGTAATAAGACCAAATCCATAAAGGTATACTTAAAAGTGGTTGGAAACAGAATTCCCTTTGCACCACAACACACGCCCACACACACACACACACACTTCCTAACATTCGTATACCTCTGTGTGCAGATGCTATATAAACATGACACTATTCCATTTGTGTGCAGGGAAGTTTTCAACACCCTCAGCGTTCCTTCTTGCATGACAAACTCGTTTCCAAAATTCCATGGTAGCTTGTCACGTAGAGAATCTTTTAAAACACTGCGTCAAACGGTCTTAGCTATACATCAGTGTAAAAAACATCCATGCATGCGTTTCAGCTGTATGTAGGCTTTGCAATTTGTATTTATAGATTATAATGTATAATATTCAAATAAAGACATTAAGAGGGTTTTAAGATGGATATATCATAGATATGTAAATCAATGTTTTTATTGTAACGGTTGGGGTAATTTGCAGAACACTAGAAATTGAGAAATTACTCATGATGAACTTGACTGCTCTACTTTTTTGTTTAACTTAATTTTCTTTCTTCCAATTACTAAGGGCCAATAACTGACCCATTAACTTTGTAATGAAGTGATCCTTTGCCATGAGAACAACAGAGTTAACACTTTGATTCATTGGTAATCCTGCAATACAACAGTGTTCTCCTGTTTTCTTATGCCTCTGCGTTATAACTATTATTATTACTGTCATGTATCTTTATCAACTGCTGTAAAACTGTGATCTTTTGAGAGGGGGCTTTCCCCTCAGTGACACCTAGTCAAAGAACAACATTAACCATATGTAAAAAGACGATCATTATTGATTATTGACTAATAATGGTTGTACATGCATTACTGAGGTTGTGGTTTCAGGTAAATAAAACGATATAGTATTTGAATTGTGTCATTTTGATTTATTGCATAGATAGACTATGTGTTTCTCTTATATAATTACATGAATCACAGTTAAATGAGCAAAATTACCCATGAGGCCTGTGATAGAAAAACTGCAGAATGTTAAATACACACAGTACACCTCTAGTTTGTACAACAACTGTTTTGTTAGAGTAATTTGAATTTACCAGCTGGTAATGCTGAATATGCAAAACTCTTCTCAATTTGCATACAAAACGTTATGTTATTTGCTCAAAGTATCTGTGTTTCAATATTTGAAAAATAAACCCCAAAATGTCTATATTTAATCAAATTTCTGGCTATTTATAGATTGATTTATGTAAATAATTACAAAAAATGCAACGTTATTTTTTAGTTTCTGACTTCTTCTGGAATCTGATTAACCCTGCATGTATGATATCTCTCCACTAGGTGGCAGTGTTAAGTTAAAAATAACACAGCAGCACTGCCACGTGCTCTGTAACACCTGCTTTACAGGTAGGCCTACTGCCACTATCTTAAAGGAGCACAGAAGGAGTCATATCCTGCATATTATTCTTATTATTAATTGCTACTAAAACATGTAAGATTGGAGTATTGGGAGAGGTATAGCTTAATGCTTCCTGACACATTTGAAAGGAGATGTTAAAACGAGTGATACAATATGACTTTGTTATAAATGTGCGACATGACAAAAACAATACAGTGTGGAATCAATATCTATTTTACAGAGACGTCCATCCCTTGTTTGTTCGTGCTTTTGTATAATCTCAGCTTTTTTTCTTATATTTCCTTAACACAGAAAATCCCCCATTATTTGTGTTCTTATTATTTTTGTGTGTGTTCATGCTTGTTTATTTACCTTTTTATTGTGCGTTGGTTGGTTTACTATTTCTGTATCACTCAAAAAGATTGAACTGTCAACTGAACAAAATGCTATACTATGTGACTCCAAAGATAAAAAAAAAAAGAAGAAGAACGTGAGAAATGTTCCAGGATTTTCCTGATATAATGAAGTGTAGGGTGCTAATACAAAATGCCTATTTTTAATACTCTAATTATCATATTCATAAAATAAAGTTATAATGAGTGGGGGGCTGCCTGGCCCTGCTCTGTCTCTTTAACAGCAGCTCTCTCTGGCCCCTCCCACTCCTGCAGCCCCTCAGTGCTGCTGCCTGAGATGCGAGCGCACACACAGCGGCACCATCACTGCCGAAGAAACGGGATAAACCTGGAAAACAACTGGGGGAAAAAACAACGAGACCACATAGGCACCGTGTTAAAACCATGGTCTAACGAAACCGTCCATAAACCGGACCACGCCGCTTGACCGCATCCCGTGAGAAACTCAGATGTTGTCGTCGCTTGGGTTTTGCGCTTTTTATCCTTTCTCCTTGAGCGCTGCTGGTACAAAGGCTCTTGGTGTGGAGCAGCACCTGGGATCACTGCCATATGAATGGAGTGAGAGTGGTCGGACCTGCTATCACTAACAAACCCGGAATAGTAGATAGTGAGTAAACCTCGCAGGATTAAACCACTTTCTTCTTTTTTCCTCTCTCACTGGGAGCCAGATCCCAGTGTCACTCCGCGAGGACAGATGCTGTCATTGTGTCGAGGCTGAGATTGATCTTCTAAAAGTGTATTTTCTCGTAATAATGCATGAGAAAGACGCGCGTTATTGCAGCTTTTTGTTCCTTTTTATGCCCCACACATTCCCAGCTCTTGCTCTGGCTGAACAGCCGGTTTCTCTTGTTCAGAATGGGATTTATTGTATCTGCGCAGCACACGACAAGTGTCAGCAATTAGGCAGTGTGTTTCTGCACGGGTTACCTAAAGGCCTGTTTTAAACACCGTCACTTTAAGTGGCCATTGTTGTCGATAAGCAGTCAGTAGCGAACTGGACTAAGGAAAAAAGACAAGGGCTGCCATTGCTTGAATCCCTCGGTGTGTGTGAACCGGGGTCCGTCACAGTAATAAATCAGGCACAATATGGTGGAGCCGGTGGGATTCACCGAGGCGTGGAAAGCGCAATTCCCAGAGTCCGACCCCCCCAAAATGGAGCTGCGATCAGTTGGTGGCATCGAGCATGAGCTGGAGAGGTGCAAAGCGTCCATCAGACGCCTGGAGCAGGAGGTGAACAAGGAGCGCTTCCGCATGATCTACCTGCAGACCCTCCTGGCTAAAGAGAGGAAGAGCTATGACAAGCAGCGGTGGGGCTTCAGAAAGACCCCCCTGGGTGAGGGGATGGACCCTGCAGCCGCACAGGGCGCAGAGTGCCAGTCCCAGCAGCCACACATGCAGGAGACGGGTGGAGTTGGAGTAGCAGTTGTTGGTGGAGTGTATGGTTGTGGCAGTGTTGATAGGATCCGTTATCAGCCTACCGCAGATGGAACTGGAAGGTCCAAACCCAGGCCTCCACCAGCCAGGAAGTCGGCCTCCCATGGAGACGGCCTGGAGTCCGCCTTCGAGGTTCCCCCGCAGGCTGAGTCCACTTCTTGTGACAACCTAGATGGCCTCTCGCCCTCTAAGCAGAGAGGTGCCATCTCTGGTGGCATCTCCGTCTCTCCCCGCAGGATCAACGTCCCGCCCACAGAGAAGGACTTGCCCTCTGACCCCAAGGACAAGCTGGGGATGGGACTTGGCGTTGCAGCTCTTAGGTCTAACTTTGAGAGGATCAAACGGGCCAACTCTCACACTGCTGGGGAGGCAGCGAAGGGCCAGGAGAAGCAGTTGCCGCCACCACCACCGCCATTCTACTCTAACATGGAATTCCACCAGGATCGGGGGCTGATCAGGGTCAACGACCGTGAAGTCTCGGACAAGATCAGCTCCCTGGGCAGCCAGGCCATGCAGATGGAGCGAAAGAGATCTCTCCATTCCCTCCCAGGTAACCTGGCAACGGTGGCAGGGGAGCTCCGCGCCAGGCCGGTGTACAGAGGCCGCTCCACTGAAAGCACCTGCGGCTATGACGCAGAATATGAAGATGGGGAACCCAACCAGCGACATACAGGGAGGGCCAATGGTGGCAAACCTCCACCTCCTCCTTGGCAGCCCTCGGAGTTCCAGGCTTACTCTAGTGTCTATGTCGGCGGGGTGATGATGGGTGAAGGTGGTGTTGGAGGTGTTGGGGGAAGTGGTAGTGGAGTCACTATGAGGGAACTTGGGGGAGCCGATGACCACCTGCTGACCTGGCCACGCCGTTCCTACTCCCCAGGGAGCTTCGAGGATGTCGGCGGAGGAGGCGGCTACACGCCAGATTGCAGCTCCAACGAGAACCTGACGTCCAGTGAGGAGGACTTTTCCTCAGGTCAGTCCAGCCACGTCTCACCCAGTCCCACCACGGCCTTCCGCCGGCCTTTTAGAGAGAAGAGCCGCTCTCCGTCCCAAAACTCCCAGAACTCCCAGCATTCGTTCGACAGCAGCAGCCCGCCGACTCCTCAGTCCCAGAAGCGACACCAACGGCAGCAGGGAGGCCATGTGGTCATGTCTGAAGCCACTATAGTGAGCGTTCGCAAGACTGGTCAAATCTGGCCACCTGCTGCCCATCATGACCTCGTGCCCCATGGTAGACCATCCCATGACAACAGTTTCCATGGAGACCATATAGGTGAGTGGAAGCTGCTGTCTCTAATCTTTGTTGTGGTAGGAGCAGATGGTCTGGATTGCAAAGGGCATTTCAGACCCATCATAGAAACCTGTGTGTTGAGGAATAAAATGTATGAAAACCTGAGTGAATGAGTGCACTGTAGTCATGTGTTTGCATGTATTATTTTGCATTCTATCCTCTTCCTCACGTATTTCCACTTGAAACCACAAAGCAGCCAAATGTTGACATCATTAATGTTACGCTTGTGATTGTGTGTCTGTGTGTGCACGTAAACACGCACGACTCAGTGTTCTTTAGATGGCCTTTGCGTGGGAGACGGATGAAATATCCACCTCTGCTTATTCCTGGAATGTCAGTGGGGTGGGTGAACAATACATGTGGTCAGTCTGGGTTGAAAGTGCAGGTCTAGCCTTTCTCAAGCAACTCCTCCTGCGGCTCAGAGTATGGAATTCCAATCACATTTGTCTGTCTGCCTGCCTGAAACTTAACAGAGTGGGAAACAATTCTCTGGACCTCAAGCTGAAACTCTTAACCAGCCTTTAGCACGGAGCAGGACAAAAGAAATCCACTCTCCAAACGATTATGCGCAGTATCCCTAACCACTTAATTGCTGCCTTCGGGCCATGACACCTGTAATAAAACGGCAGCTAGAAGATAGATGTGCGGGCTGGAGCTGACTGGGCAGTAGCTAACTTAGCTGTCAGGCCTAAACCCAACAACAGTGGTAGCACTTAGCTTTTTGTAATTCCTCAGTAGAGTTTCCATTTGCAGAAGCAGTGCCAGCTCCCAAGAAGTGAAACCAAACAGTTTGGGTAGTTCAAATATTTGACATCATTGTTAGTCATCGAGTGTTGTTTACAGAGGCTTAAGTGCAGTTTTACATATTTTGCTTGTTGTTTCTCTCTGGTTCTCTGCTGTTGAAGTGAGAAGTGTTTTAGTGTCCACTATATTGTAACAGATTGGACCAGATAGGATGCTGGGTGCAAGCATCACATGCTCACTCCTTGCCAGCTTTAACTAGATGGGAGGAGGTAGTCTGAGAGATAGTAAAGAGAAAGAGACAGGAAGTATACAATTGGGGAATGAAAACACTGAAAGGGAAAGTTTGTAAGCAGAAAATACGGGACAGTTGATTCATTTGTTCAATGACGATTATGTGAAGGCTGAATATCATGAACGTTTTTTATTGTTATGAGAATCAATACTAAAGACATTTCTGTCATCATTCAGGGTAGCGTTACTGTCTGAAACCTGATGCTGCTCATCGCATAAATACTCTGAACAGAGAATAGGTCTCTGTGCATCTATAATTCATTTATGTGTATAGAACCACCCACACATTGGCCCGGGTGGAATCATCTAAAATGTTTTTTCCAGACGGGACTGATCACCAAACTA